TCAGGGTCACACTTGTCCAGCGCTCACTCAGGGTCACACTTGTCCAGGGCTCATTCAGGTGCGATTATTCTCCCTCGAGTCCTCAGTCTCTCTAGAAAAATGTCTTTCTGGATATCTGGCCATCCTTTGGTAAGCTCCTTGGGTTCTCCTGAAATGTTAGGAGATTGCAGGGCATCACAGGCATGAAATATCAATTATGGGGAGAGGAAAGTGGGAAAAGAAATTAGAAGGCTATCTTAGTGAATTTCCACATCACCAACTAAATACTTGACCAAAACAGAGGGCAGAGGATTTACATTAATCCGCATCATGGTGGAGGCTGTTTCCAGCCTTCGGACCAGGAAGCTTCCAGCTGCTCAGCCCGGCCCCCTCAGTGCTCTGTCCCCTCCCAGAACACTGCCACCAGAGCCTGTACGGAATGTTCAGGGTTCAAACCACAGCAGCAGTGAAGGATTAGGGAAGACTTGGAGGCACGGAGTGAAGAGCCAGTTCTGTCTTCTGCTCCTGCCTGTGCTTGGGCGTGGCCGAGGTGACACAGAGGAGGGGAGAAGAGCCAGCAAAGAATAACGAGCTAGAATAACGAGCAGCTAGTGACCCAGTAGAGAAACAGCCAGTGCTGGAACCTACAACAGACACTTATGCCGATGAGAGGCCTCTGCTCTACCTTCTGTTCTCCTGAAGGCCTTGTGCCGTCAGCACAACCAGGATCCGGGAGTTCTGAACAGAAGTTCTGAGTTTATCTTATCATAGAGGAAGAAAATTATATACCCTAGTTTGCTTGTTTAGACTCTAACATAGTCTTACTATGTTATTGTGGAGGGAAAGAATACAAGCCAATAATGTGATATTACATGTTGGCTACTCTGCTCAGTGGCCTCACTTAAAATGCATTCTGCAGAAAGAAGTCCTAGGAGTCCAGCGTATCTGGAGCTCCTACAGCGCAGCTGCGGTCAGCGTGGGCCCTTCAGGTCTTACTCTCCTTGTTCTCGGGGACCTAGCATCTTCCAGGATGAATGCTTTGTTCCAACCTAAGATACATATTTAAGAACATGAGTCGATGGGTGTACATAGCTCTTACAATATAAACAAACACATTTTTATGCTGTGAGTAAGTTAATAACGTAGTAGATATGTGTTTCTATTTTTTGTCAAATAGGGTTAAGTCTAGTGCAGCGCTTAAGACCTGATTTCAAGCGGAAGTACGCGTCCATGTTTGAGGACGACACCGTGACCGAGTACATCTATCACTGTAACGTGCAGACCCCAAGGTAAGGCTCAGACTCTGACTGTTCCCTCATCTTTATTCCTCCCTTGAAAATTCTATACAGCCTATTTGATCATAGTTACCTCCCCCACGCTTCTCTCAGCTTTGTGTCCTCTTTTTTTTTTTTTTTTTAAACCCATCAAATATTGCTCATAGATTCTTGGGTGAGTGACCTTCTGCTAGAGGGTGGCTGACCTACGGGGAACGCACCTCAAAGAAAATGGGTCTTCCTCTCCCAGCAGCTGTCAGTTGCCAATAGCTCCTAAGTCAGAGGTAGAACTCCCTCCTCCCGCTCCAAGATGGGATTTTTGTGTTGTTTGAGCTTGTGCAGGTCTTGTAAATGTGGTCACAGCTGCCGTCAGTTCCTGTGTGTGTATGTGTATGTGTGTGTGTACGGTCACAATTGCCGTCAGTTCCTGTGTGTGTGCGGTCACAATTGCCGTCAGTTCCTGTGTGTGTATGTG